CACCGGTAGACTACGTCAGTTTCTCCCTCTCGGCCACCCCCGCGTTATCTCACCGTCCCTTTCCTTTCCGAGCGCGCGCTCCTTCCTCCTTATTTCTCCGTCGATCCATTTCCCTCGCGCGGAACTTGGTGCGCCGTTATATCCAGAAAGTACATCGACTTGTGATGTACTTTTTGCGATACATTAAGGCGTATATTTTATGGGAGAATGTGCGTATAACGCGACGGCGCGGGTGGCAGCATACCGCGGCGCGGATACGCGCCATCGACTCAAGAAAGACGCGAAGACACGGGAATAACGTTAAGGGTGCGCGAGCGAGTGACTGATGCGACTCCGCGGAGGGGAGGAGGGAGGGTGGGTCGCCTCTTACGCGGGCAGAGTTATCAACCCCTCTTCGTTAAATTACACTTAACTCGATCTTACGACCGACAATGGCACCGTTGTTTCCGTTCAATAAAAAGTCACGCGATGACAAATAGCGTGATCGTACGGTTCGCGTTGATAAATTTAATTTTGCGGATGCTGGGCGACGTAATTAAATGCGCCGAGGTGATTAACGTGCGAAAGTAAAAATCACTTTAGCCTTTATGGCGAGCGTAATTTAGTCATTGCTTATTGCATAACGGCCGCGATAAGCCAATTAGCGTGTAAGATATCTAATTAAACTACACAGAAATTTGCATATTTTATAACATGTTTTCCCGATTTCTGTATTTTTTCTTGTTTAAATATTCTTAACGTGTGCTATCTTTAATATTAATATTATCAACATAAACAGTAATAGAAACTGTTAATGAAATTCGAGAAAATTTGCGCGCGAATTAAATTCTAAATAAATGTAATGTCATTATACTGTTGCAACCATTAAGGATAGTATCGCCGTTTGAAATCGTAACTACGATAATAGGCAAACTTTCCTCCTCCGCGGTGCAAAAACACTAAAAATACACACCGTTATTCCTCCCATCTAATTACAATAATAATAGCTGCGTAACGGCCCGCCTCGATGCCGCACGAATTTACATAAACGTCCGGCGTACTTCATTATCGCGGCTATCGATCGTGGAAACGACCCGAGAGGAGGGAGGGGGGGGGGGATAGGAATCGGGCCGACTCATTCGGGGTGGATCTCATTTTAGATTCCCATTCTCGATCGTCCCCGCGCGATTTTCGGAACTGGCAAAGCCTTTATCAGGTGGACCGCGTGCCAGCCAGCCAAGATCGAGTTTCCGGTCGAATGTATCTCGCCCGTCGTCGAACGGAATTCTCTCCTCTCTGTTGGCGTTTCTTTACGGCAATTTCGAGCGCGATTACCGCATCGCGCGTGCACACGCACCGTATCGACACGGCTCGTTCGTACACGGCGCGGCGCCGAGATGCATGCGGATGCCGTAGGTTATGCAAACGTATCCATAATACATAACGCGCCACTGTGTGCGCGAGACACGTACACACCGTGTGTGATGGTTGCGTGCGCGCGCGTGCGTATATATTGCGTGTGCACGCGTCGCGTACACGTATAGCGGCAGCGCGCGGCACGGCGCGGCGGCGGCGGCGGCCTCGCCGCATCTAATGTACACTTTTCACGTCGCGGCAAACTGCGGCGGGCACCGTAAAGATAGTCCGGGGAAGTGCACGCCGGTATTACGTGACGTGCCGCTCGATAATGATACCGCCGACCCGCACGATAAAAACAAAGTGAGCACGTTATACAAACGCATTCGCATATATACACATGCGTATATATATACGCGCGTGAAGGCACGGCCTCCCTACAAGCGGCGAAGGTAAAGATAATGGGGAAGCGCATCGGCGCTTTATAAACGAAACTCCGTAAACGCGTGTCTGAAAATTATTCGTTCCGCCTTATCGTTCCGTCTCTCGACTTCCTCGAGGGGATATTATTAATATATTTCGCAGCGAGTTTCCGCCTTAGCAATGATGCGACGATTGAAAACCTTCTTCCTCCGCTCAATTATATTTAACTATACGAAAACTAAGAAAAATATGCGAGGGGAAAGTCGCGATAAGGTTTTTTTTTAGGACTCGATTTGTAAGTCGGATTTGTATCGCAATCAAGATATTTTATCTAGAATTGACGGCAGATTGCTATGAGATTGCGTGGTACTCGTTTTTAACGTCTTACACGTAGATTGTGAATGGGCTTTAAAAGTAGCACGTCCATGTTTTTTTTAAAACGCCAGTAGTCACGAGACAGATGTCATTTCCGAACTAACGAACAGCGTTATTTGGGTAGATCGTAATCAAGAATTTTTAACCAAACGCAAATGGACACTTTGTAGCAAATTGTCATGAAGTTATGCTCACAAAAAAGATCTTTAACATTTCACGTTTACATTAGCGAGAGATCGTAGATTAATGTTCATCCGCGGATCTTTAAAGTGGCGCCTGTCACAAACGCGCGACAGTAGTCACAGCGACGTGCGGTCAGGCACGCAATGTGTACCTCCGACCGCCGTACTTTCTGAATTATAAATAACGAAGGAAACGTAACGTTAATAATATCTGTGTACGGGCTGGCTGCCTCATCTCGTATGCTTGATTATTGACGACGTTATCGTAACGCCCCTCGCAGCCATGTCGCGCAAAATGCGACTCGAAATGAGATCGTCATCAAAGATATCCGCGTGCGCGCGCTCGGCGAGTACGATATCTGGATACGAAACTTTTACGAACTTTTTATCTCGCGCCGTCGTCAAAATCGAAAGACGATGTAGTAGTCCGAGGCGGATCGCCTAAGTCGGATCGTTAAGCGCGTGCGAGCGCGCAAGCGGGCGAAGTAGCGCGAGTACGATTTACGGCGGCGCCGGCCGGCGCGTTATGAACGCGCGTACGAGACGCGGGGTACGAAGCTCTCGCGGCGCTCTCGGTGAGTGCTGAACGAGCCGAGGGGAGGGGGGGGAAGCGGGGGGGGGTGCCAGGTGTGCTCTCGGCAAACGAGATGGATGTGCTGGATGTTCGCGTATCGCGTGACCACTCGATCAACGCCGCCGCGAGTTGACAGTGACTTACGCACCCGGGCACTCAACGAGATATGACATGCGCCACTGGTCGCGCGCGCCGCCGCCGATGGGGCGCCCCCATTGTTACCCTACCTGTGTACCCGCCAAACACCCTTAATCTTTCTATCTTTCATAGCCTTTGTCATCGTTCGATCGCTCACGTACCCCATATTTCTCTCCCTCTCCCCGCCCCCTTGCCGCCGCTCTTATCGGCCTACTTCCCGTCTCGCGAATAAAGTGCAACGTTCGTTGCTCGCCGCGATAATGTCGGTTTATTTCACGCGCGGCGGTACATTTTTTTTGCATTAAAAGCGACGTTCTAAAACCGGCGTTCGGCGAGCGACGACGACGTCTCGACGAACGAGCGACGATATAAAGCAGCCCTCTCCCCCCCCCCCGATCGCGCCGCCGGTGATCGACAGGCGGTGGTTACTTACCGGAATCCAGAACCGTGTATCGTGGATTTGACGTGTCGATAGGCAGCATATCTCGCACCCAGGAGATGATGGGCGTCGGGGAGCCGACCGCGGTGCAAAGAAGGACCGCGTTGTGGCCCATCTCGACCACCTTCGTCGTCGGCGCTTGAGTGATCATCGGGAAACCCATCGGTAGATTCTCCGCTGTAATCACAAAGGAGGGCATCTTTAGTCATTAGCCATTGTAGGGAGTGCTTAAAAGTCTGAAATAGTCGGTGTATTATGCAGCAGGAGGTAATATTATATATACGCAGAGAGAGAGAGAGAAAGAGAGAGAGAAGACGCGCACGGGAGTTGATGCATCTTTTAAGAAAATTCCTCGAAGAGCGAATAGAATAATAATCGTAACAAGACAACATACCGTGAAGCAATTTATAATAAATTTGATATTTTAAATAATGATCTGGCTGTATAATTTAACAGACACATGTTATACAAGCGCATATTGTTATTTGAAGACGTTATACTATAACTTTTATGAGCTTGCTACTTGCAAGATTCACAGCTGTATTATAATTTTCTCTAAAAGTGAGATATTTTTTTTGTATTTTTTTTTAAATAAAAACGCGAGTTCGGCGAGTTCATCGAGCGCTTACGCGCTCGCACGAGCTTAATTGTATTTGTCTGAGCTTTTACATGTACAGAGACGTGTTTGCGCACGCCGAGTGTAATCGATCAAAAATTTTTGACTGCTTCATCCGTTATTCATCTACAAGATGTATGATCTTCTTAGATATCAGAATAATCAAATAATGATATATAGCGGTGTGGCGTACGTGGATTAGTTATATGGAGATAACATCTCTATATAGTCGGAAACATCGCGCGCGTAGCGGGAAACGTCAAAAATATTCGACGTGTACACGTCTTTTACATTGATACGCGAGGCGAACTTCGCGGCTCGTCAATTATATATCGGACGTGTCGTAGAGAGTAGATCCGGATAGCCCTCTGTGGATCGTATAGACGGGCATCCGGCGACTAGTCTCGCGGGAACGAAAGTTAGGAAAAGCCACTGGAACCGGTCGGCCACGCCGCGCCGTTCCCATTTCCCATCGCGGAAAACAGATCTTCCGTCCCTCGGAAGGCAGCCCGTTGATATGGATAGATGCGCCGGAATGCCGATGCGATCAGGAATGGAATCACAGAATTCAATATACCGCGCGGAGATCTTTTGAAAGGATCTGCCAAAAAAAAGTCAAACAAATCGCACGAAATCTCGTTTGGCATTTTCGTTCTTTTATTTTTATTTTTTGGAATGTTGCATATAATTGGAATAGATGTCTCGCGGAGGATTTCTAATTCATTTGTTAGCGTTCAGTTTTTCTCGCATATATCCATTTTAATAAAATATTTAAAATGTTTTGCAATTGTACGAGAAATGTAATAAAACCGCTCGATGAACTCAGTTTTTTTTTTTTTAACAACGAGAGGCAAACACGTCGAGCTAATTAAGATAAGCGAATATCTGTCAGTACATCGTAGACATCTCCGAGAAAAACGTACATATTTTGAAAGAAATGAATGAAGCAATATTTATAAAATAATAGCTACGACGTTCGAATCTTCGTGGATCTTAATAGGCACGCCGTGCGCTCGCCACGAGTCTGATCGATATCCAATTAAAAGATATGTTCGATAGAGATTGAGCGCGTCAAAGGAACGATGCACAAGTCGTGCGTGAAGTTCAGCCTCGGGGCGAGCAAGAAGATTAATTCGACCTGTTTCGAGGTACACGTGATCCGACCCACATCGCTCCCGTTCTTCATGTAATTACGACGGCGCTACATTAATCCTTGGGGTGAACTCGTAGTTAAATCTAAGTTGGCGACGCGGTGTACGAAGTTCCGAACAACTCTCGCGATTGTCCTGCTTCCGTTTCGACGGTGCCTCGTACGACAGAGATGAAGACAATTTACTCGAACCAGTTATTAAACGACCTCCCGGTAACTAGTTGCTTATTTTAAGCAGACGTGGAGTTTACTTTGCAAAAAAAGAGGAATTTAAGATCCAATAAATATAATATATATTAGAATTATATATTCTCGAGTAAATCATATTAAAAAGGTCTTATTTCTCAAAATCTTAACCCTTTTCTCGAATTATTGTATACATATTTTCACTCTACGTTTAAAATTAAATTTCTCATATATAGAGATGGTGCTTTTTTATTACAAAATCGTAAATTAACAATTTAAATCGCGCACAAAGGTTTAATACAAGGATTTTCTATTTTACAACATTTAAATTACAATTTATAAAGAAGACAGTTCTATAATTTTTACAAATTTAACTGTCTGAGGTTGAAGTTACTGGTAAGCGAACTTGAGACTTATTACAAGGCCCACAAACTGGGTGAAAGTTCGCCGTAAGGGCGCGATCAAACTGCAATTACCATCGACGCCTCGGGGTGGCTCTTAGAAAGTCCATCTTTCACAGTCTCGTCAATTACAAGAGCAATCGGAACTCGTGGACGAAGTTAGTGGTCGGCAAGTACTTTCGCGTATTCTGATCTACTCGTCTCTATTCGCGAATGCATTTTAAACCGATGGAACCTGTTGGAGCTTGGTAAGCCGGTCATTCACTAACGTGAAGATGCATATATATTTGAAGACTGGCACAATTCAGTCGCGTTGTGTCCTTCTATTTCCTTTTAGAATATTGATATCGTTTGATCGTTTTTAACATTATCCGGACAGTTCGGGTGGACTGCGAATAAAGATAGAATTAAATAAATGTCTCTTAATTGTTTCGTTCATTATCCTCCAATTGTCCGTTTAATCCCTTCATTGAAAGAATTTCGTTCAATAATTAAAGTCGAAATAAAATCGATATAAACAAGCTTTTCTTTTCGTGAATAATAATTCTTAAATTAACCCTGTCAAGCTTTCTGTTTTTCAACTGTCGTTATTACAACACTGAATTTTAGAATCATTAATCGAAATAATCTCGAAAGAGATTAAAATAATTTAGCGTAATGTGATTTCTGATTTCGTTCGACACTTCGAATTATCGTTAAATCGAGGTTAGTGAGTGCATAAATTAACAGCCTCTTTAATCCATCAAATTATCAGTTCTACTTTTAACGTGAACAGAGAGGAAAATTTGATTATCATATGATTTGTTTGCTTCTGAACGTAACGAGATATTTATAGCTATATCGCTTTTCCAACGCAGGTCACGATGGCACGGTTGCCATTGTGTACATTACCGCACATGTATCGAAAACTTGTGAGTTTAATAGAAGATGCACGCGAGACGTACGATCCAATCGAGGAATTGCCGGGCTCTCGTGTACACCGCGCCAGAGGTAAAACCATCGCAAATAGGTCAAGCAATTTACCGGCTATTTGCTACCATAGTCTATTGTGCATTTAAGGAACTCGAAGCTATTATACAAGTCGCGTCGCTCTTTCTTTCTTTCATTCCTCTCGGCGGAATCTGTCAAATTCAACGGGATTCGCGTGCTATTAACAGCCGGAGGGAGAGGCCGATAGGGGGAGAGCGATGGCTCGATGCTCGACAACCTTCAGGATTTTCTCGAAGGTCTTCCTCCGTCCCATTGTCTTCTTCCGCGGCGCCGCTTCTTTGTCCTCGTTATCGTCCGAGTTATCCGACGCGCGGCTGCGCCAATTATATCGGCGGCCGAGAGAGCGCTTCGCGGCCGACAATAGAAATCGCCTGCAGACTTTCCGCGTGCCCTCCCTCCCTCCCTCCCTCTCGCGAGTAGCGCCATTTCCACCCTCTCCTCATCCACCTTTTCCACCTGCTATATCCTCTTTCCTCCGCGCGCGCTTTTCCACCGGCGACAACAAACAATACAAGCACCCGACATCGACCGCGTCGCAACGACAACAAAGTCGTCGGCAAAGCTATTGTCCCCGCCTGACGATCCGGCCACCGCGCCTTCCTCGTGTCCGAGGTCGCGCGACGACTATTGTACCGACCGGAGAACGAGCACGACTACGACGACGACGGCGACAACGACGACAACGACGACAGCGACAGCGACAACGGCACCGGGCACCGACAATGAAGACGACGACCGCCGCTGCCGCGCCTTTTCCGTGAAAGTCGTGATTTTGTGGGAATTTGTCTTCCGTTTCCCCAGCCCTCGTTCTCCTTACAGCGTTCTTTCATTCCCGGTTTTCCTCCCTTATTTGCGATTTCTCGCTCTGCGCGCCACTCGGCTATGCACGCAAATGCGCGCGCGTAAAAGCGCGAATATGATGGACCGAGCGCACGTGGACGAGTTATTGTCGGGGGATGAACGCCCTTCTTTTTACAATTTTCTTTTACGACAGCTTTGCAACGCTTCTTTTTCTCCCCCCCTTTCTCGCTTTATCTCTATTCGCGCATGGAGGTTTTTTTTTTCACCGTTACATTCGGATTTATGCTCGCCACAACGCGATCGTAAGATCACCGAGTTTCACGCGAGAAGAGATTTTTCCTTCCGGAGATTCTTGCTCGACAAGACACAAGATTAAGTTACAGACTGTGCACTTTACTCCGTTAACTTTGCAGCGAGATGACGAAAAGTATATCGAGTTATATTGTATACACTTTTTTTTTTCATATTACTCGCAGATGCGATGCTATCGTATATAAACGTACATAAACGTGATTAAAGATAAATCTATTGTGTTAATGTCTCTGTGACTCTATAATGACATTCTCTACTGGCGACATTTGTCGCTTAATTTCCGCGCGACGGAACGGATCTCTAACTTTTTGATTAATGTGCATCGCAATGATGACAACCGTATAAAGTAACTTTGTCAACGTGATATAAAATCGCTTCGGGTTGACGCTGTTGCGAGCGATTGGCTAAAACAATTAAAGCACTGATAAAAATTTATATAATAGAATATCAACTGTCGCCACTGATACCCGAGCCATCGATATCGATTACTTCAACTCGGGAGGCGGATGTATGAAGAACGTTGAGGCATCGCGAGCGATTTGTCCCCTTCCGCGCTCTCACACTCGCGTCCTCCATCTTCCGTCTTATCGTATCATTCAGCGGGGATCCGCGTCCCGTGTCCGTTCGAGTGAAACACAATGGAGAGAAATCAACGCGGGATGATCGCGGGCTCAAATACCTCGTTTCACTCCCATCCCTTTAGTTTCGCCCGTGGAGGATC